TGCTTTGCAACGATTTGTATCGTGAAAAGCGCTATACAAATAAACTTGAATTGAATTGAATTTAATGACAGGTTAGATTTTTGTGATTTTTTTTTTTTTAAATGAACGATCAAAAGGATAAACAAATCAGATTTATTTTCTGATTTTTCTGAGTCAGGCTGGGTTTCCAATTATGTATATTTATATAATTCTGAGTGAGTTGCGGCCACAGTCACAAAGATTCTGTAAATAGAATTTAGAGCTATGAGGAACAGATTTTGGTTCTGATTAAGATGATCATGCAAAACTCATTACTTTGAACACACTGGACTGTTTACTCTGATACAAAGTAAAACAAATCCTAGTGTTAAAGAAATCCAGTCCGAAGCTAGGGTTATATTCCATGCAGATATTTTGACCCAGGTAGGCTACACAACACTGCATTAAGAATCCTTCCATTACTTTTCACATACATTATCAGGTCTAGAGTAGACAGAAGGTCCAGAGCCTCAATTTATATTACAGGCATGGCAATCATGACAGAGCACCAAACTAACTCTCCACTATGCTTTTTATCATAAGTAAAGCCACGATTCAACAGCCTCCCCTGGTGGATGCAACGAATCATTTGTAACGAGAATGATCTAGATGCGCATTGAGCCTTTAGAAGTCCGATGCATTTGAGCGAATCGGTTCACTCGGACAATTCACAGCAAGAAGCTGATTAAAAACAGTGATTCACCGAGACACTACTAGACTCATCTATCAGCAACGTTTCCAGAAGTAAACAAATGTGAAATACTGCCTTTCTGTTTGTATAATTACATATGTCAAAAGTCTATTGTTTATAATTTCAACATGTCACACTCACAGCATAGTTTTGGTATAGTCCCAAACAGAGTCCTTTCAGTCGACTCTAACAGACGAACGAATCATTAATACGAATCTGTTTTTTTCTGGGCTAAAGTGATCGGAAATTACCATTTTATGTTAAATACGACATATTTCCACTTCATTCAATCCACTGACAGCGATAAAACAGTCCAAAACATACAATTCACATGCATTTCTCTTATGAATGCTCTCACTCGACATTCCTACAGAAGAAAGCAGATGTGATCTGATGTTTCCAGCGGTCTTGGCGTCCTATTGTTCTCATGAAATCTGAACATTCATGCGTAGTTTTGTGTTTTTACCGTTAAATATCGCATGCGATTAATCGTGCAGCCCTAGTTTTTACTAAAAATTACACGTAGACGCTAAATGCAGTTTGTGATGCGAGTATCCTCTGATGATTAATTACTTCATACTGGAAACTGAGTGAAGTTTGGAATATAACATATGAAACTGTGCCCTCAGAGCGCAGGCGCGGTGGCCAAGTGGTAAGGCGTCGGTCTCGTAAACCGAAGATCGCGGGTTCGAACCCCGTCCGTGCCTTTTAAGTCCATTACAGTCCAACATGGACTCATAATATATGGACTTGGTGAACAAAACATGTTTACCTCAATGTTGTACAGCCCCTCAACGTGTTCACGGTTTACCTCAAGAAGTTGGGAACGAAATAAACTGAGAAATGGGCATCATAAGATTTGTCTGTACTGGGGGTCATCAACTCAACAAACACACCTAAACCAGGTCTTCTGATCACTTTAAGATTTCGGCCAGTTGTGTTGGAGCAGGCTGGAACTTCGCAGGACAGTGGGTTACCAGAAGAGGAGTGTAAGATCATATCATACATCATGAGAAATCTCACTTATAGGCAGTGAACGTTGTATGGTCGATTGGGTGCATTTGTTTACCTAAAAAACCCCAGTAGCTTAAAAATGTGTGCGATAATACCTCTATAATCTTGCAGCCCGTAGTACACTCGTTTTTGCATTTCCTTCTAAGATTTGTTGCCATCCCTACAGATACAGTTACCGCGTACAAACCAAACCAAACCAAACACCCCGCAGCGCCACTTCCGGATTGTTCCCGGATTTTGTTTTGCATGTTGAAATGTGGGAGTCTGAAACACTCATCAGCAGTGTTGGGGAAAGTTACTTTTAAAAGTAATGCATTACAATATTGCATTACTCCCTAAAAAAGTAACTAATTACGGTACTTAGTTGCTTTTTCTGGAAAGTAATGCGTTATATTACGTTTGAGTTACTTTCGCGTTACTTTTTAAATATAAGCAGGGCTTGATTGTTTTTAATATAAGAAGTTCTATTTATAGCAAATATAAAAGCCCTTTCACACCAAAAAGTGTAATGAATAAACCTCAGGCTGAAGCAAAAGTAAATTCACGTCTGTACAGTAGAACACAGGAGAAGAAACACTCTTCAGCAATAAAAAAGCGAAGCACAATTGTTTGTTTATCTAAAGTCATTTTTGCTTATTAGTATGGTTGAACTGGATCATCAAAGGTCAGCAGCAAAGACATCAGTTAATAAAATGGGATTAGATACATTTGTGTTATTTAACATATTTAATTATTGCAGGTTTGCGTCATATTCTGAGTTTGCATTTCACTGTTTTAATTCATTTTGATTAATACTAAATCTGTTTTTTTGTGAGTGGGATTAATTAATGCACATTCACATTTAGTCTAAAACTACAGTAACATCACGTTCACACAGCGCACACAACTCCTCTGCACTTCTGATTTCTCCCAATATGGGGACAGGAGACTTGTCAGTCAATAAATGGGAAAACAAAGTAACTGGCATTACTTTTTTGAAAAAGTAACTCAGATATTTTCTTGTACATTAAAAAAGTAATGCGTTACTTTACTAGTTACTTGACAACAGTAATCTGATTACGTAACTCGCGTTACTTGTAATGAGTTACCCCCAACACTGCTCATCAGTTTCCTATTTTATATATATATATATATTATTTTGAGCTTTTAGAAGATTTTAAATTCGAGGTTATTTTTCCAACATTATCAGTGGATCCAAACGACTGACTGACCTGCATAAAAAAAAAAAAGAATAAAAAAGAGCTGCTATTAGATCTAATGAATATCAACTTATAATGTTGTGACATTGTGTGGGTCTGATGAGTATGTTCAATTTTATTTGTAAATTGTATATGCTAAGAAATGCTGCGTTATTCAGCAACCTGACACGTCAGACAAATTCAAATGCTGAATAAAATAAATCTATATTATAAAACGGTAAGTATGACTAATAAATCGTTAATATGATTATGTATACACATGGAATAATGTATCAGCAGCATCTTGTCTGACCAAACCGGATGTCTGTGTGTGACGTCATCTTTCGCAAAAATCAACGTCACAATCTCAGCAACAGAGGGCGACAGAGAGCAAGACATCAACGCTGTAATCCTACAGGTTTGATTGCAGATGAATAAATCACGTTTATACGTATTCAAAGACTCCACGTCTGACATATCTGTGTCGTTCAGCGCAGAACAAAAGCGATATAGAACTGCATATACAATTGCATCATTAATGTAATTTAGGTCTTCCGTTCAACTACATCCCAGTCCAAAAAATAAAACAAAAAAAACCTGGATGGGCGCTATTACGAACATTTATCTATTTAGCTGACAAAACAAGTAAACTCGGCCAGAACGACTCGGGGGTTTCTAAGAACATCCCTTCCTAGTTTCTATATTTGGAAATGACTTCGGAAACAGAAACTGCTCCCTATCCAGTTCCACGTGTTTAACTTCGCTCCCTTTTAACGCAAAAGAAAAGCATCGGGCAGCAGCAGGACGCTCGCATGTGAGCGATTCTACATACTGCCACCCATTGATGATCATCAATAGACTGGAGAATGTCGGCAAAGAATTTAACGCACAATTGGCGTGTGTTGCTGAAAATGGCATCTCCCCCTGCACGGCCCCTGCTTACCTAGTAGCGTGACCATGAAGCAATGAACGAGCAGAGAGAGTCCTTACCATGCACAGAGTAAGTCTGCTGCTCTAGACGCTTGCTCATCTCACCAGCAGGAGCACGTATAGCGTGCACTTAAAGAAACAAGATCTCATTCAAATCAGCCAGATGTTTCTTTCAATCCCACAGTGCTTCTTTATTCATTCGAGGTAAGTTTTATTACATCGATATGGCAGGTGTGACCGAAATTGGGGCAGAATACTTATTAATTCCACTGATGATGTCATAATAGACATTCTGCGAACCCTTGCAATGGGAATTTGCGTTTGAATTTAACAGGGACTTTAAATAGATTTAATAGAGATGTGTCTTTTAAAGCAACAGCATGGCATTTTAGGTGCATCTTGCTCCTTTTCGCGGATGTTGCTTCCCGACAGAGGCAGACAGATTGTGTCTGAGAGAGTACCTGAACTCTCTACGGAGTCGAACACACTGTCTGGGACTCAACTGACGCCTAATTGTCTCCTAACAAAAGCCCGTAATAAGTCGGATAGCGTTTTAATAAAGCTTTCTAATGTCTTCCTCAAATCATACGCTTGAAAAGTTAATGTGATCGATTTTGTAGCCACTGTATTATGTTAGTGCATATGTGTAACATTTTTCACTTGGAGCCATGGCTGAAGAAGGTCACTTGCTGTGATTTGTGATGAAATGTCTTAGAAACAAACCTAAAAATGTCAAATTAATGAGCATGCGTGGCATTTGCCATATTCAGTTCAATCCAAGTTTATTTGTGTAGCACGTTTCACAGTACAGCTTCACAGAAAATGCATATGTTTCAGTCTTACAACCAGGAAGTATTCTGTCATCAGTCAGAGATCAAAATAATGCCTATATGGCTATAAGATAATACAAGTTATGTGCTTAGTTAAAAAAAAAAAAATTGGGTTAATATTAGTCATATCAAGGAAATGCTCAGAGGCTGTTGTATATCAAATTATAGAGGGAATGAATGCTTTAGTCATAACTGTGGTAAATATATTTAGTCATATTATTATCTGTCAGTGTTTAAATATATATGCATTGTGATTTCAGTGACGGGACTTTGGGGGCAAGATGAGTTTTGATCTCAGTCCAACTGGCCCGCAAAGTCCCGCTTCTGGGACTCACTCTAACAGCGTGACAAGAGTACATAGTTAAACTTAAAATAGTTCTTTCTCAAACAACTGTACCAGTAACAGGTACTTAATTTAATATGATTACATCATGTTGACATGTTTGTGCCCTATTGTGAGGCAAATGGTTTTATTGCGTAAAAGTTGTGCATAAACTTGTTCAGTCATACACTATACCACTTCTATAAGGGAGTTTCCCCAGCGATTGCATAAAAGAACAATTTTTGGTTTCCCCAAGAATCTTTCAGTGAACAATTCTTAAAGGTTCCATGAATGTTAAAGGTTCTTCATGGGAACCAGTGTCACAAAATCAACACACTGTTGCAAAAGCATATGATCCGAATTTGCGCTAGAGTCTAAATGTAATGCCGCAGGGAGAATGAGGGGCTTTTGGGGGCACTTGTGTTTCAGTTTCACCATCATAATGCCCCTAAAAATCCTTATTGCTCTTGCACTGATCACCATTTATATTTGAGATATTTACATGCATATGTTATGAATGCGTAGTCTGCTCTTATTGCAGATGAATTTTGCTTTAGGCAATCTAAAGGAGTTGTGTGTTCCAAGGACTGACCGCCACAGCCTGCCTACACTTACGTATGTTACATTAAATGGACATTGCTAATACCACCAGTCCCATTCATTTGGAAATATCGCACATTATGTTTGGTGCTCAGTTATGTTGTGTTTCCACCGATGGTGGAAACAATCTGGTTTCATTCTCAGTCTCCATTTTATGTCAGGCACAGTTTGATCTTCTTGCTGAAATATATAGAATGTGCCCATCCCCTGAGGGCCGCTCAAACAGACAGAACAGACAGGCACCAAAGGAATTTCTACAGTCCGAGTAAATTCGCATCTCCATGGAAATCATTTGTCTGTCGTTACAAAGAATGCTGGTCATAAATGGATAGGAGTTTGACACTCTACAGGGGCCATTCACGTCAATCATGATTTAATTATGAGACGCTGCCCAAAGCTATATATATTGCTGACAAGAATAAATGAAAATTGGAGTATTATACACTGCTATGTGCTTTATGTAAACAATACAGGCATTTTTTCTGACAAGGGGCAACAACAAAAGGAATGATCATTAAAAACAGTAGAAAAAGCCATAGAAACTTTCGTTAATGTGTCTTGGTGATCTTTTAGTGCACTCTAAAACATATCATGCCATGTTATTATAAGAACAAGGGGTCTATTGCTAGTTGAGGGAGCAGGATGTGATTCCCAGAATGTGAAGAGCCTAATGCCACATGTTAGTAAGGGATAGTTTTGTTATGACTTGCCAAAGTGCAATACTTGAGATTATTGAGTAGTAAACTTTCACATACTCTGTGATTATTTTTAGTCATCTTTAATAGAATTAAATGGCCTATTGTTCATAATCACTATAGGAACAATACATTTGCAGGCATTTTGGCTTGCATTCTAGCTTTAAAATCTCGGGGCACTGGGCACAAGTCCTGCTGGAATTAGCTGTGGTGCTTTCTCTGTTCTGTGGCTCTGTTATGGCTCAACTCATAGTAATAGGAGAAGGGAGAGTTTCAGATGGGAAAGTAATTATTGACACCCCACTCAGCCAACAGTTCATCCTTCCTCACTGAACTCACTTCACATGACAGAGTTGTGATGCCTGTACTGTAATAGATTTTAGTGACACATTTGCGTATGTTAATGTTTATTGATATAAATAGGAAAGCAAACAGTCTGAGCAACACGTGCTTTCCAGCCACTTTCAAAGAAAACTCTTTTAAATGAGATCTTAAAAACGCCAAACAAGTTCTCACTTAAAATATGTTGACTCTCTAAACAAGCATAGTGTTGTATTTCTTGCTAAGTCACTTGCTTATTGTTCCTTTTGACGTCATTAAAGCCTCTGAATCAGTTTTAACGAATGCACTGGAGAGCCATTTGTGCTGAGTTGGCAGTTCACATTAACAGTTTTACATGAAATGGTTTGTGTTGTCAAAAACCCCATGTAGAATCTTGCCCTGACAAAAAGAGTCCTCATGCTCATTAAAGGAAGAGTTCACCCAAAAAAATGAAAATTTAGTAAAATGTACTCACTCTCATTCAAGATGTATTGTAGATGAGTTTGTATCTTCACTGAAACAGATTTAGAGAAATTGTATGTCATGTGCTCACCAATGGATCATCAGCAGTGAATGGGTGCCGTCAGAATGAGACTCCAAACAGCTGATAAAAACATCACAATAATCCACAAGTAATGTAAGTAATCCACAAGCTGCATGTTTGTGATAAACAAATCTGCCATTAAGACGTTATTAACCTAAAACTGTTGCTTCCGGCTAAAATATGAGTCCTCTATCCATTATATTGCTTTCTTCAGTGAAAAAGTCACCTCGTCTGAATCAAGAGAGAAATATGCACAGATCAAGCACTGTTTACAAGCCAAAACAGTATGTCAGTGGATTTTGATATGAGACATCAAAAGACGATGCCTAAAATTGATGTTTTAAAGTTTTTAAAAATTTATTAAAGATGGGTTTGTTATTCTTACAAACACACAGCTTTTCACATGACATTTTTTAAGGACTGAAGTCATGTGGATTACTTGTGGATTATTGTGATGTTTTTATCAGCTATTTGGACTCTCATTCTGACGGCACCCATTCACTGCAGAGGATCTACTGGTGAGCAAGTGATGTAATGCTACATTTCTCCAAAACTCTTCTGATGTTTGGGCTTGTTTTATATATTGTACACAAATTAAATTTAGCAGTAAAGTTAGTGTTTCTGTATAAAGCTGTCATTACTGTCAGCGTACATTATTTGATAACATAAGAAAAGCCCATTATATCTAATTATAAACTAAGCCATTATGTTAGCTTTATTTATAACAGATCAAAAACTGATTAAAAGATCTTATCGTTTGCTCAAATAAGTGAACCTCTTGAGAAGTGGTTGGAGCATAATGTGAGCGAGAACACAGCTTGTGCCTCCTGAGTGTTATTCCATGTTTTTTTTTATTATGCTCATCTTGCATGTCAAGACAGACGAATCAAACAAAAAAAGTTTGGAAACAGGCAGCAAAAATGGTTTCTCTCTTCTGTAATCTACATCTTTCACCCTTTCCTCGGGGTAAAGTCGCAGACTCATACCAAAAAAAATAAAAATAAAATATGTTTTGTAAACATCACCTGCCTAATTTCAGTGCTTTCAAGGTATTTAATTGAATGGATTAATAATGTGATAGGCCGTATAAAAAGAATATGATTTTAACATTTACATAAGAATGATGTCATCTTTTCATTGTATGTCAGTCTAAATCAGTACAGTGTGTTTGTTACCAAAATAAGCACTGTGAGGTTTAGACAAATTGGACTGAATCCATTGGGAAATAAACTTGTCTAGAAACGATGAGCTGAGGATGCAATTATTACAGTTTAAAAACTAATGTAAACAACCAAATCATCAATATTGCTCACAATAGGCCTGTAAAATGTGTTTTTTTATACAGTTCATACAGTGCATTGCAAAGGCCCTCAATCAGCAGCCATAATTAGAGAAGTAATTCATGCGTGCCGCTTTCTTCATAAAAAGACCTTTCATAAACAAGAAACACTTAAAGGGATAGTTCACCCAAAAATGAAAATTCTGTCATTAATTACTCACCCTCATGTCATTCTAAACCCGTAAGACCGTTCATCTTTGGAACACAAGTTAAGATATTTTTGATGAATTCTGAGAGCTCTCTGACCCTCCCATAGACAGCAATGTAATTACCACGATCAAGGTCCAGAAACATAGCAAGGAGATCGGTAAAATAATCCATGTGACATCAGGGGTTCAACCGTAATTTTACGAAGCTACGAGAATACTTTTTGTATGCAAAGAAAACAAAAATAACGACTTTATTCAACAATTCGTCCACTGAACGTAAACAGCGTATGCTATTCTGTGTCAGCTGCGTCACGCGGATACGTTTTCTACGTTGTTTACGCTTTGATTTGAACGAAAACAACGTATCTGTGTGGTGCAGCTGACACAGAATAGCATACACTGTT